CCCGTCTTAATTGTGTGTGTGTGTGTGTGTGTGTTTGTGTGTGTGTGTGTGTATGGGGGAGTGTAGAGGCCTGGGGTGGGTGTGGGTTGTGTTTTCTTCAGCATTTTTCACTAGGTTTGGCTAGTCTGGCTGGCTAGCTTGCCCCAGGGACCTGTTGTCTTCACTTCTCAGATGTTGGGATTACAGATTGGCTACCACACCCACACAGCATTTGTGGGTGCTGGGGGTCTGGACTCTAGTCTTCAGGCTCATGTAGAAAATACTTTACCCACTGAATCAGCTCTCCATCTCCTTCTTTATTTATTTCTCTTTAAAGGGTGTTTATTGTTCATACATAAAAACACCCTTTTATCGCAACTATATACAAAGCACACAAATATACAATGTAATTTATTCCTAGGAAGCCAGGCCCAGGATCCTCCTCTCTTAGATAATGACTTAGCAATAAACTCTGACTGAGACTTTGGCAGCTGTTTTAGAGAGCCTGGGAAAAGAAAACTCAGAATGAGAGATTTTAGTTGTCTCATAGTAACCTTCCTCCAACTGCCTGGGCCCTCTTTGAGGCCTGGAGACGGGAAGATCTGTGCCCCCAAGTCTTCCCTTGCCTCAGAAGGAGATGGGGACAGGAGACAGAATTTTTGGGTCAGCACCTCACCTCGTAGCATGAATGACTAGCTTAGCCCAAGATATGCAGTCACTAGTGCGTGTTTGCATGCTTGTGTGAATGTCTGAGTGTGTGTGTGTGTTTGCACAAGTGTGCACATGTGCATGTGTGTGTTGGGGGGTTACAGGTGGGAGGACAGCCAGGGGAGACAGTTGTGAGTCTACGGCTAACACCAGGCACAGCTTCCTGTTAGAGATTTTAGACTGTGACTCACCAAGGGGCTGGTCCAGCACACTCAGGGTGTGGTGATAAATAAACTCAGGCAAGAAAGGTCCTTGCTGGGACCACTGAGGGGAATGACAAGGGGTCCCCTTGCCCGGAAGCAGCCCTATATGATGGCAGTCCATGGGCCTCTAGAGGTCACATCGGAAGGAGCTTGCTTTTTGGCTGTTTCTAGGAGTTCACATAAACAAGAGATTCTCCCTCTTACTGGAAGCTGCCTCTCCCAGCATACTTAGAGCCTCTGCATGCTGCCCCTAAGTCTCTGATGGTTTCTCTCAGTGCCAGGTGTGCGTGAGGGCTCATTTAAAAGAAAAGTGACCAGACCATCAAGGGGCTGGGAGATGTTTCAATGAGTACCAGGCAAGAATGTGAGCATGAGATCCACTGTTTGGATCCCCAGCATCCATGGGGAAAACAAAGCACAGTGGATATGGTGGGCCTCCTGAATCTAAAGAGCAAGCTAGCTGGACCAGCCAAGTAGGTGAGCACTGGGCTCAAGTGAGAGCCCAACCTCCACCTACAGAGAATTGAGGAAGACACTTGAGTGCATGCACACACACACACACACACACACACCAACACCACCAACACCACCACCACCAACACACACACATGCTGTTGCAGAAGGCTTTCTTCCTAGAAAACATTGCCTCCTTCCTCAGATCTGCTGTGCCTATGACAGCAGGGACCTATGCATTGTTAAATTCCCCTCAGAGGAGAAGCAGGTGGGGAAGGCCATTGGATCCTCACCTGACATTCCCACCACTCCTCCGAGACATTTGTACATAGTTCTGTCTGAATTGCTCCTGGGGGCCTGGGTGTGTGCCTAGAAACGCCAGAGTACTTGGTTGTGGAAACCTAGAAGAGGAACTCTTATTTATCTATGTCATGGGGTCCTGGCACCGTGGCCTTTGGGGGACAGTTTCTGGCTCAGTCTCTCTGCGTGCACATGGTGGGTGGGTGTCTTGGAAGCTGAAAGCTACACTGACTGAAGCCTCCCAGAGGCTTGCTAGGATACCTGGCATAAGTAAGTGCTCAGTTAACAGCCTGGGCAATCCTGCACCCTTTGCCTTGCAAAGGTGAGTCTTCTGTTTGTAGAAGCAGAGCTGACAGCTTTTTGGGGTGTGAGATGACAGGGAGATCTCCGAGAGGCTCAGAAACCCCATGGCTAGGGTCATATGCTATGTCCGCAGCCCCTGAGCAGGCCGCCATCCTATCTCTGCTAATCCGATGTAAGAACAGTGGGGCATTTTCTGCACTACAGGGCTTATGGACTAAGAGATGCATGGTGGGGTGGGTAGAGCCAAGGATTGACTGGATTAGACTAGAGTCTAAGCCTTATACGTATTCATTCATTCATTCATTCACTCATTCATTCATTCATGTTCCCTCCACTTGGTGTTTCTCTTTGTAGCACTGACTCTCCTTGTATTCACTGTACATAGATCAAGCCGGCCTTGAACTCACCAAAATACACCTGCCTCTGCCTCCTTAGTGCTGTCATTAAAGGCATGCATCACCATTTTTTTTATCTTATTGTCTCCTGTGTATACTTAGAAGCTTTTTTTCTTTCTCTTTGATTTATTTATTTATTTGTATGAGTGCTGCATCTGCATGTATACCAGAAGAGGGCACCAGATCTCACTCATTACAGATGGTTGTGAGCCACCATGTGGGTGCTGGGAATTGGACTCAGGTCCTCTGGAAGAGCAGCCAGTGCTCTTAACCACTGAGCCATTCCTCCAGCCCCTACTTAGAAGTTTTCATTCACTTCCACTTTATTTATTTTATTTTATTTTTGGTTTTTCGAGACAGGGTTTCTCTGTATTGTTTTGGAGGCTGTCCTGGAACTCGCTTTGTAGACCAGGCTGGCCTCAAACTCACAGAGATCCACCTGTCTCTGCCTCCCGAGTGCTGGGATTAAAGGTGTGCGCCACCAACACCTGGCCCACTTCCACTTCATTGAGCCCTACATTTTGTATGTTTCCTGGGTAGCAAGGGAACAACCAGGAGGGGATGGCTGTACCTGGGCCGCAGAGGACTGTACAATGTAGCAGTGTGAGCAGTAATTGTGCTGGGAAGGAGCTCCTTGGCTACAAAGCAACAAAACTGGGTTTGCTTCTAAAGTACCCCCTCCTAGCTGTGTGAGGTCCTACAAAACTGCAAGACCATGTGAACCAACAGACAAATGTTGGTTACCCAGAGTAGCCCTCCAATAACTGCTAGTTTCACAATTACTAATCATTATTAATGTGAACCACAAGTGATCCCTGGTGAGCATTTGCAAGGCACCTACCTGCACAGATGCTAGGTTAGCTGACAGGGGATGGGGGGCCGGGAGCAGGCAGAGGTGTTTTCACAGATTAACAGCTGTTGCTATAAAAAGCAGTGACTAGCATTGAAGTCAGGGGAGAGCCTCCATGGTTAGTATTGGTGGCTTTATGAGAAGAAAAACACACACGTACACACACACACACACAATTCACATTCACCCCTTGCCTCTTGCTCTGTGGATTTTTGCCAGCGAGGTCATCATCGACTGTGACTAGAACCGTGAGCCCAAACCATCTCCTTTTCTTTACAATGTACCCAGTATGTGGTGCTGACTTAGTAGCCACAGAACACAGACTAAGATAGGAACTCGCCTGTGGCCTCCCACGTGTGCTCCCTGGTGTATTGTTTCCTGGTTAGAGAGGGTGAGTCAGTTGAACCAAACGGTCAGGGTCCAGGGCAGACCACTGACTCCTGCTTCTAACTGGTGACAGCCATTTCTGGCTTTCAGCTTTCTCGGATAGACCTGAGCGCCCCTGAGATATGTTCCATAGGAGGCTTAGGGACCAGAACTCTCCCTGCCTGCTCGGTGGCTGCCCCTCTTCAGGATCAAGGCTGTGGGCTGTGTCCTATGTCTCAGAAACATGTGGAACCAGGTGTTTTCCCAGGCTCCTGCCCGTCAGGTGGGATTTTCCATCCTGCGAAGGGTCACTTCCCAGTTTCTCACCCAGCACCTAGAAGTACCATCCTTGCGGTTGCTCTACCAAGGGCTTTCTCCTATCAGCCTACAGCGAGTGTATGTGTGTGTGTATAAGGAGGGCGGGCAGAGTAGTCACCTGTCTCACTGCCCATCCCACCTCTCCAAGCGCCACTTGTTCAGGGCTGGAGGAATACACACTGGCCTTGGGGCTGGCACTAGATGGCAGCTAGCTCAGATGAGGCCACTTCTAGAAAGCATGACTTCCTGGGTGGCTTTCTCCCTCCGCCTTTGTTTACCTGTCTGTCAGCCAAGGGGCTCAGAAGCAGAGGACAGAGTCTGCTCTCACTGAAGGCTCTAAGCATGTTCAAGGGAACAGGAACAAATGAAACATATTAAAAAATAGCTGTATCTGCGCAAAACTATACGCTCCCAGTAAGCAGACATATGCCACATGTTACAGGGGCCGTGTTAAACCATTTATATTCATAAGCTCCGTGGGAAAGTGCAAGCAATCATTCGCATGTAGTTAGTCTGGCTCTAGCGCAGTGATTCTCAGCCTGTGGGTGGCACCCCGTTTGAGGTCTCATATCAGATCTCCTGCATTTCGATTATTTACATTACTATCCACAACAGCAGCGAAATTACAGGTATGAAGCAGCAGTGAAAATGATTTTATGGTGGGGTGGGTCACTACAAGATGCAGAACTGTATTAAAGGGTCTCAGCATAAGGAAGGCTGAGAACCACTGCTCTAGGGGGGGAAATAAGCGAATGATCTAGAGCCCTCTGGCTCTCCAGAGGGAGTGTCCACTTTGGCGCTGATTTCCCCCAGCGTCCAGCCACTGAGAGTGGGAAGTCGATGAGATTTGGGTCACAAATACAGTGACCTATCTCCAGTGCCAGTCCTTCCTCTTCACTGGAAAGGTGACCCGAAGGGGAAGGGGCGATGGAGAGAGACTGAGTCTCTCGGGGCTGAGAGAGATGCTGGAGACCCAGAGCTGCTAGGGGAGTCCAGGTGGAGGTGCCCAGGGAGAGCAGAGGACTCTGTGTGAGGGGGCGTGACTTCAGGCCGTGGCCCCACCCCTTCCCGCCTCCATTCCCCCCACCCCCACCCCCATGGTCTGCCCTAGCTCCTAGCCTGGGGCTTTCGCTTTCAGTCACCGGCTAGATCGCAGCCGCAGCGGAGGCACCAGAGGTCCAGGTTCAAGGGCGGGAGTCATCGCCGCCCCTATGGCGCCCGCCGCCCTCTGGGTCGCTCTGGCCATCGGACTGCAGCTGTGGGCCACCGGACACACCGTGCCCGCCCAGGTGGGTGACTCTCAGGGTCACGGGGGAACAGCGGCGCATCACACAGTGCCCATCGTGGCTAGAGCACAATTCCGGGACAGCGCGAGAGGCCATCCCAACCCCCAGCCTGACATGCACCACGCACCTCTGGGGAGTGACCACCTCTGGGGAGTGACCGGGGACCCGAAGCCTGGCACATTGGGAGCCTGGGGTGGAACGCAGGTCCCGGCAAACTCATGTTCCAGAAATGCACTGTGGCTCTCTCTCCACGAGCGCGTCCAAGGCTTGGTAACACCCAGCCACACATCCCTGTGACGCTGCTGCGAAGTCCCGTCTCTCCTCCCCGCCTGAGGCAGGAAGGTCCTTACCGGGGCCACTGCCCCACTGCCCGAGCACTGCCTGTTGTGAAGACTTCCTTCTCTGCACCATGGCTTACGTCTTTCTTGGAAACACTGGGGCTGCTAACTTGTCGGGGCCAGGAGCCTAAGTAGGCGCCTAACATAAGAGACAGCTTGGCAGTGAGTCACTTCCTAGCCACTTACCCAGGTCCCTTCCAAGGATCCGCCTGCTGTGTTCAGGGACCTTTTCAGAATGATCTCTGTGTGCTGGGCACAGTGGAGGCCAGGGCAGCTACCCAAGGAGCCCCAGGAAAACCGAGAGAGTAAAGACCCCAGTATTCATTCAATCAATTACTCACACCAAGAGCAAAGTCAAGTCTACAGAATGGCCTTTTTATTCTATTTTATTTTTTCCTTCCTGTCTCCATTGTTGGTAAGACAGGGTAAAGGTACAGAAAGCCAGGCCCAGAGCAATCACCGTTTCTGAAGGGTATGGAGGAGGGAGCCTGCAGCATAGGATATGCCTTCGTTTCACTCCACGGTTGGGCAGTTGGGTATGCCTTCTGTCCACCCTGATGGACCGAGTGTATTTACCTGTCTGCGGGTGGGGAAGGAGAGAGGTGGCTTCTGTGGTGTCCTGAAGTGACCCGATGGCTCAAGACCATTTGCCGTTCTCAGGGTGGAAAGGCTGAGGCCCACAATGGCTGTTGGGCCTCAGGGAGCTTGTCGGGGATGGCTTCCGGATCAGGATGGTCTCGGTTCTGAGGGCTGAGTGTCAGTGTGCGTGGTTGTGGTCACCAGCATGACTGGGGATCATGCTCTGAACTCCAAGGAAGAGCAGGTCTTTGGGCACTGAGCTGGGGCCTGTCACTGGGACCAGAGCATACGAACTCCCGTACAGGAGGAGGGGCAGCGCAAGGCCTGTGGGACTCAGGTAGAGTGCTGGCATGACTGACCGGAAGGGCTTCCCTCACACTTCCTTCCCTACCTGACCAGTCTCGGGTCACCTTAGACTCCCACCTTCTGTGACTGGCCACGGGCCCTTAGCTGGTCTGCCAGTTTCCACTCCCACAATCCTTCTTTGACAGAGCGAACTTGCTCAAGCCCAGATGTCTCTCTGCCTGTCTGGGGAAGCTTCTGTGGCTCCTAGGAGCGGAGGCAGAGACCTTTCCTTCCAGGTCTCGCAGGCCCAGAGGGAGGTATCTGCGCAGCCTGCTCACATGTCCCTATGCCCTGTGAAGCTGGTCACTAGGTGTCTGCCATCGTGCGTGTATGAGCTCTGTACACGTTTTGTTCACTCTACAGCCTAACTCTTCCAAGCCGTTTTGTAAATGCCGATTCTCCAGAAAGGCCTGTCTACATTCCCCCACTTAACACATGACCTGTTCCTTGGAACAAAGATTCCATGCTACATTTTATCCTCTGTCTGACTTATTAAAGACGGGAGGGACCTGGAGCTAAGAACTGTGCAACCCTCCTTCTCCTGATTAATTCCACAGTAGCTCCTGGGTTGGGACACTCAAGTGCCAGACATTATGTTGGACACATTGTCACAGATCGGCACTGGAGCTTCCCTTCCAGCTGTTTCTACAAGGTGGGGTTCTACTGCTCCCCTGAAAGGTGTGAGGACGGGTGACAAGCTGTGGCATTTCCCAGCACCATAGAACTGGGAGGTGAGGAGGTGGGATTTGAAGGCAAGTTGGCCTCACTCTCAATGTTACCCCAGACCCTCCCGTACCTGTATCCCACTCCTACCCCTATCATGGGACTCAGAGATGTTGTGTGTAGAAGGGCTGGGCAGCAGAGAGAGCCCTGGGGCAGGTCCTAGGGACAGCGGATACACTTTACCTTGGGACTCCTGTCCTCTTTGACGGGGAACCCACCATTCACCCCTTCATTTAGTCTCTCGCTTATTTGGTAAATAAATACATGTGAAGTCAGGTTACTTATTCTGAGCAGGGATAGGTCATTCCTACCCTGGGAGTCTTGGGGCTGAGGGCTGCTGTTTGCTGGATGGGGTAGCATCTCAGGCTGGCACTGGAGTGGAGTTTGGTACCTGCGTATTGCTGGGCCCGAGGGTTTTTTCCTCCTTCCCTCATATCTTTGCCTTTTGTTCACTGACTGACATCCTTCTGGGGCATCTGTGTTGTGACTGAGGATGTAGCCTGGTGATTGGGGCCTTCAGACGGTGGTGGCCGGGGGGCCAGGCACCCTGATTCCTTGCCATCCATCCATCTACTCCCAGTGTTCACGGACACCTGCTTCGCACACTACCGACTGCCTAGCTCTAGGGAGGCACCTCCAGGACCCCAAGAGCCACACTGTCAGGTTGCATACCTCACAGATGCAGGTTTTGCTCAGAGCTGCCCTTGTGACCTGGGTCAAGATAGCTTTTGTTTACTCCCCTGTTCGTGGTGAGAGAGACTTTGGTCGGCTTTTTTTTTAAGACAATGAAGCCCAGGCTGGCCTTCAGTCCATTATGCTATGTTGTTAGGATGACCTTGGACTCCTGATCCTCGTTCCCCATCTCCAGTGCTGACTTGTGTAGGTCAGGGCATGTGTTTCTGCATGCTAGACAGGCACTCTGCCACCTAAGCTATACCCTGAGTGCTTGCCTGCTGTTCTTGGGTTGAAGAATAGCCTGGACTATTGTCTTGGCGCTTGGCCCAGTGACTTCCTGTAGCATTTGTCTGTCCCAAGGGCTGGGTGACGCTTTGACACTTTATGGCCCTTGCTACCCAATAGTAGAGGAGTACCAGGGTGGCTTTGTGGAGGGAGAGGTTTGTCACCATGTCTGGTGTATGTGTTACATTTCATGTTGCTCTTCCTCAGAACTGAATCCCAGCACTCAAGGAAGCATGGACAGAATTATCAATCCAAGGCCATCCTTGGGAACATATGGAGTCTGAGATAACCTTGGGCTTCATGAAACTATCAAAAAGAAAAAAGAAAAATAAAAAGAAAACCCCAAAACCAAAATGTTTGACTAAATGTCAAAGACATTTGACTGACCTTTGTAGTGACTCGTGACCCCCTTTTACAGCCAAATGTGACAGGTTGGTGGGTAGATCCAGGTTCGGGCAGCCTTCCTCTTTCAAAGTGTCTCAGGACTCCTCCCCGCTGCTGTGGCAGATTTGATGGGGTGGGGGCCCTCTCCCTCAGTAGCTCAACCTCCCTACCCTTGCCTATCCTAGGTTATGTTTGAGCCATCCCACTGGTGGCGACTCAGGCCCTGGAGCTGGCAAGGAGGGGAGTTGGGGGTTGGAGTTGGGAGAGGTCCCAGCAAGCAGAAGTGTGGTAGGCATGCTACACTCCCCGTTTCAGACGCTGCCAGGCCCCAGCTTCCTCGGTCAGGGCCCAAGATGCCACACAGATACCAGCTCACAGCTTTACTCCACTGTCCAGGGGCTGTGCTGTCTGCCCCCCCCCACAATGGAAACACTCCCCTGCTGGTGGCCACGACTGAGGTACTTCATAGGCTTTGAAGCCACTGGTGGCTGTTTGAGCCACAGGTAGCCTGTCCTGACTTGGTTATGTGCAGCACTCATAGCTAGGCGCGGGGACCACAGTGTGCTCAGAGATCAGACCCCCATCTCAGGGAGCCACAGGACCCCAAAGCTTAGGTGTCAGATATCCAGTTGCCCCAAGTTCCTGCCTTGGTGACTTTGCTGCCTGGCACTCCAAGACCAACTTCCTCCCTGTCACCTTTCCTGCTATACTTCCTGTCCCCTGCCCTCTAGTTGGGCCCCTCAGATCACTTGCCTGCCTGCCTGCCTACTTGGGGTCCAGGACCCTGTGTAGCAGCAAAGGCTATGTGGTCAGGAAGTCACCACCCCACCCTTTCAGTGGTAGGTGCTAAATGTCATTTGTGGGTGATGAGGAGTATGTTTGATGAAGACATAGAGGGTGTAGAAGGCCTTCGCTGGGTGGTTCTCAACCTGTGGGCCTTGCTCCCTTTGTGGGTGGAGCAACCCTTTCACGGGAGTTGCCTAAGGCCACTCTGAGTATCAGATGTTTACTTTATGATTTGTAACAGTAGCAAAATCACAGTTATGAAGTAGCAATGAAGTATTTCACAGTTGGAGGTCACCACAGCATGAGGAACTGTATCAAAGCGTTGCAGCATGAGGAAGGTTGAGAACCACTGCGTAATACATGCCAGTAGATCCCAGGCTTTCTCTAAGCTCTCTTCCATCTTCGGGTGTGTGCGTGTGTGTGTGTGTGTGTGTGTGTGTGTGTGTGTGTGTGTGTGTGTGTGTGTGTGTGTATGTGTGTGTGTGTCTGTGTGTCTGTGTGTGTATGTGTGTGTGTGTGCTGATATCCGTTTACCTCTTTTTTCTTTCTCATTTTTTTGTATTTGTGTCTGCACATATGAAGGTGTGTTTACGTGTATGAAGGTGTGTGTCTGTGTGTGCCAGTGCCCCAATTGTCTTCCTTGATTGATCTCCACTTTATTAAATTGAGGCTAAGTCTCTTGCTGAACTGGAGCTCACTGATGGAGTTAGCCTTGCTATCCAGTGTGTTCCTGGATCTCTCTCTGCCCCCGCCCCCCATGCTGGGTTTATAGTTAGCTGCCACATTTCGCCAGCCCCTTCCTGCTTACTTTATTCCCTCTTGTTTGGGCTAGAATTATCTCCCTGTCTCAGGCCCCAATGGCATCAGGATTTCATGGCTGCCCATCAG